AAAAAAAAAAAAAAAAAAAAAAAAAAAAAAAGAAGAAGAAGAAGAAGAGAAGGAGGAGGAGGAAAAAGAAAAAGAAAAAAGAAAATTAAAACAGAAGCTGGGGAGATGGCTCAGTGGAATAAGCGCTTCCCTGGCAAGCACAAGGGCCTGAGGTCAATCCCTGGTTCCGCCACAGAAAAAAAAATTAAACCTGGCTTCACCATGGGGCTGCAGGGCCATCCGCGTAGTGCCCACTGCTCCTTGCTTTGATTTCCACATGTTGACAACCCTAACCTTGGCCTGAGCCCAAATGTTATGCTCTCTACCCCAGGAAGGTGACTCTGCAAGTGAACAGGGTATTTTATTGAGGATTTACTAAGTGCTGGATGTCTTTGTCCTCTGTAACTGGTTTTATCTATCTTTCTTTTCTTTTTTTCTTTTTTTCGTATTTTAGGGAAGGGTCTACGGGGTGTTCAGGGTCTCACTACTAGATCAGACTCATAGTAATCTGCCTGTTTACAGCCTCCCAAGAGCTGGGGTTTCAGGGGTGTGCCACCAAGCTCAGTCTCAATTACCCTCTCAGCCGGCTCTGGGGCTGGCACAGCAGGCCCAGGGATAGAACCCCTGGTCCCTGCTCCTGCTTGCAAGCGCTTTAATCCACTGAGCTATTTGGCCTGAACTTCTTTTTTTTTTTTCTTTTCTTTTCTTTTTTTGTCTTTTTGAGACAAGATTTCACTGTGAAGTTCAGGCCAGCCTTAAGCTTACTCTGTAGCCCAGGCTGTCCTGGATCTCACAATGATCCTCCTGCCTCAGTTTCCTGAGTGTTGGGATTACTGGCTTGAGCCACCGTGCCTAGTCCCCTGTAACACAACATTTATGTGTTTGGTTTTTGCAATATAAAATATAGAGCATTTAATCCGGGGGCACTGTGCCACTGAGCTACGGCCCCCATGTCAATATATATTACAGTACTGGGGATTGAACCCAGGACCTTGCACTTGCCAGGCAGGCGCTTATGCTGCTGAGCTGTCTCCCCAGCTCTACATTGTTGTTTTTTCTTCTCAACTCTTTAAAATAGTAACCATCAAGAGCATGTAGTTCAGTGGGGCAGTGCCTGCCTTGCCTACACAAGACCCTAGGTTGATGGGTTTTGATTGCTTTTGTTTTTGTTTTGACAAGAGGAAGGTTTGGAACAGGGCTTTCACACTGAGCTACATCCTCAGCACTCACCTCTTTTAAATTTTGTGACAGGGTCTCAGTAAGTCATTAAAGTGTCCAAGCTAGGCTCAAGCTTGCCACCCTCCTGCCTCAGCTTCCTAGAATGCCGGGATTACAGCCATGCCCAATCACATGATTAAGGCCCTGGCTTTGATCCCCAGTCTCCAAATAGAAATGAGAGCTAAAAATAAAATAGTGAGGATCTTCCTCACCTCATAGGCTGTGTGGAAACCAGCGGCAGCCAGGCGTGGTCTACAGGCTTCGTGCCCCATGGAGGCTGGGAGGCCACGGAGTGGGCTGGAGGAGTGAACAGAAAGGCCCCACGTGACAGCACGGCTGCAGGCGGAGGAGCCTTGGCTGGCGCCGGCCCGGAGGGCAGCCCTGGTCCGCTATACATGTCCTCAAGAAGCTGCTTATGATTTGCAAGCGCCCTGGAGAGTGTCATGAGCCAAAGCTCCCTGTCCCCACCCCTGGTGGCTTGAGCACCATTCGGGAGACATATTAGTGGCCCAGAATGTACAGAGTCACCTGGGCACAGGGAAGGTGTGCGGAGCTGTGATCCTGGCCCAGGAGGGCCTGACCAGGCTTGGCTCTGTGCACAGAGCGACTTTGGTGTCCATGGGGAAGCGGAGCCAAGGTGGCCAAGGCGGGTAAGCAGCCAGGCCGAGGCAGGGTCCCCATCCTGCTGGCAGGGCAAGGTCAGGAGACGTCTCTACCATCTCTACTGTCATAACCGCGGTCTCTACCGTCACAACAGCGGGAGAGGGCACCATGGGCATCTCAAGGGTGGGAGCCAGGGATAAAAGCTGCTCCATGCCCTGTGAACCCCAGAACAGACAGCGGAGGGCTATCCTCCAAGTTCCTAGGTTGGGGGGTCTTGGGCCCAGGCACAGTGGGAGCAAAGACTTTGAGTGAGGAGAAGTGGGAATGGAGACTCAGCTTGGACAGCTGGCTTCAAAGAATGGGGAGCCAGGCATCATGGTGCGCCCTGTGAGGCCAGTATCCAGGAGGCTGAGGCAGGGGGATAGCCGTGAGTTCAAGGAACTCAGGCAGTGGGATGGAGGGGAGGAGGGCAGAGGTGGTATGGGTGCCCAGGAGCCAGGCAAAGGGAGGTGTTTCCTGCTGCACCCCGAATCTCTGCTCCTTGATTACTGGTGACTTCAGTTGCTGGAGAAGACCAAGGGCCCTGGGCAGGAAGGGGCGGCAACCTCAGCAGAGAAGGAGGAGAGGGGGCAGGGGCTGCCGCTGGGCGGATGCTTTATGAGATGTTGTGGTCTGTCACTTGTCCCCCACACCTGCCTGTGGCTTGCACACCATCATTCTGCCTCCATGAGGACTGAGGCCAAAAGATTAAGCCACCTGCTTAGAGGACATATCAGTTGGGAGTGAGGTGCACACCTGTGATCCCAGCGCCCAGGAGGCTGAGTGGGGAGGATCCCCAGGCGTTTGCAGCCAGCCTGGGCTGCACAGCGTGTTCAAGGCCAGCCGGAATTGCATAGTGAGACCCTGTTTTCAAAAACAAAACTAAGCAAAACAGAAAAGGGAACCCAGCAAGTAAATGGCAAATCCAGGACTCAGTCCTGTGTCCCTACCACCAAATTCAGCTATTTCTTTCTCCATTTCCTCTCCTCCTCCTCTCCTTCTTTTTCAACTCCTTCTTCCTCTTACTCCTTTAACACAGGGTCTCCCTGTGTTGTCCAGGCTGGTCTCAAGCTCTCAGGATCCTCCTGCCTCAGCCTCCTCTGTGCTGGGATTATGGGAGATGTCACCACACCCAAACCAGCTGCAGCTTCTTGCTTTGCCACCACAGTGTTCTCTACTTTTTCTTTCCCTTTCTTTGGTGCTGGAGACTTATTCCAGGGCTTCCTTTATGTTAGGGAAGCCCTCTACCATGGAGACACATCCTCAAGATACATCCTAGGGTCTCTCATTGGCAGCGAATGGAAAGTATAAGACAGGTTGTGTTACAGTGATCATGATTTAATGAATGAATAAAAAAATGAGTGAATGAATGAGTGTTACAGTGATCATGATTTAATGAATGAATGAAAGAATAAAGGAGTGAATGAATGAATTGCACACGTAGTGGAAAAACCTCTTGCAGTTTTCTATCAAACCAGCAGATGGCAGCAAAGGAACAGCCTAGCAAAAGGCCCAGGGGTCAGGATAGAAACTCTTATTTACTTATACCTCTTTTCCTGCACTCTGCAAAACAGGTACCTGTGATTCTTGCTTGGGGGGTGGGGGAAGATCCCAGCCAGAAGCAACACTAACTGACTGCAGCTCCCCACTTCCTGTGTTGACCTCTTCGCCCTAACTTGGAACCTAGGATGTCTCAAGAAATCAGGAAAAAACACCTGGAGAATTTTAATGTCAACCCAAAGCACCACAGAACTGTCACAGAGAACAGGCTGTGTCCTTGGGTTCTGGTCTGGTTGGGTAGACATGCACGATGTTCTTGTGACTTGCCTTCCAGAGTCCAGAGCAGAAGAAGCTTGGTGAGAGATGTGATTGAGGGCTGAGATGGGGTGCTGGGGGGCTGCTGGTGCCTCCGATTATATCGTCTTGATGGACTTCAAAGCTGCCTCGATGCCAGGAAGATTGACATGCTTTGTGACCCCCAAATACCCCAAAAGCACTCTTTTACGTTGCACTTGGGGGTGACCCACCCCCATTCTACTTTATCAGAGAGTAGCCAAGAGGAATAAGGCCTTCCTTCTTTGAACATCTGGGCATGTGTAGGATGCTTCTTTGGGAGTTTTCATGTGCTGTTGGTGTGTTTGCCTAAATAAGAAGCTAGAAACCTAAAGCACAGAGGATGACAGCACAGAGGCCGGCTCTAACCTCTGCTTTACAAATTAGAGGGGTCTGGGGATGTGCTGGGACTCGACCCGCATGCGCGTCTTGGTTAAACGCTGACTTTGTTCTGGGCAATAAAGATTACAGGAATTATCTGCACAGAAAGACATACACAGCCTTCACCTTGTTAATTCTGACCTTGAGGAAGAGGTCTGGGTGACCTCGGAACCCCAGTGGTCCCCTTCTGAGCGGCCCAAACCTAGCTCCCAATGTCCAGAACCCCTCACTTCACCAGATGGCCTTAGTGAAAGAACTAAGTCTTTTTTTGCAAAGCTCCAGAAGAAAATGAAACCTTCCCCACACTGACTCCTATCACCATGATGTACAGGACAGCCAGGAAGCCCCCACCAGGACAGCCCTGGTCCCTCCAAGAAGCAGACCTCCCCTGTGGACCCTTTTACCCTTGATCTTGAGGTGGATGGTGGCACCTAGTAAAAAGGAATTTTGTTTTATGAAAAGCGCTTTCCTTTTATGACCTGTGACAGCCGAGGGAGAGTGACCCTGGCGACAGGAAATTAACACAGAACTCATTGGGGGTGACAAGACTGCTCATAATCATTGGACTGATAAGTTAATATCATTATTTAATCAAGTAATTATACAGTGCCCGGGGCCCTCCCTCTGTCTAGAGTTAGGTTCAAAATGAGAAAGAGAAAGCTGGAGATTGAGTCTTAAGTTAAATTCTACCTGCTTCTGCCATTTCTGAGGGTCTTCATTGAGCTGGACTCAGGTATCTGAGAATCTGAAGCAAACTTATGCACAATGACAAACTTCCTTGCATGAGTTTAGGGGCTGCCAGGGTCATGGCCAGAGAATGGACTGAGGGACAGTGCCCCCCAGGAGGCCCGGTCTTGGCTGGCTCCCTGTCGGAACCAGTTCTCCCATGGGGCTCTGTCTAGAGGGTGGTGGAGTGGGGGTGTGACGGAGACACTGATTCTTGTTCTGAGCACGGGAAGATAAAAAGCTACATCTAAGATGCCCGAGCAGGGGACTGGGATGGGGGGCGCAACGCAAGAGTGGAAGGAAGGAAGTTCTCGCCCAGGGTCGGCTTGGTGCCTGTCGTTCTTGAGACAGAGACCTTTGGAGAAGAATGGGCTTGGCTGGGCCCGCGCCACTGGCAGGAAGAGCTCATGGCCCGGCATGGTCATGCGGGCCTGGAGAAGCCACTTGCCTGGGCGCCCTCTGGGTGCAATCCGCAACCGAAACCCGAGCCTGGGTCATTAGCGGGGAAACCGAAGTGGCACAGCGATCGCATTTCAAAAGCTCAAATAGCCGGGCTGACCGAGGCCCTGGGACAGGGCGGCTTTGGGTGGGGGAAGCGGCACCCGCCAGGCTCGGAGGCTGATTTACGCCCCCTGACTTTTAGACCCCATTCCAGGGACTGCACCAAATCCAAGATCCAGAACGCCAAGGCCGTCTGATTTCCTCTAAGCCGCCATCCCGGCGCTGTTTGCACCCCTGCCGTCTGCAGCCAGAGCCTGGCCTTGCTTCTGGGTGAGTAAACCGGGCCTGCGGCGGCCCAGGTTGCATACTGCGTGGGTCCTGTGCGAAGGCATCTTGGGCTTCCCGTGGAATCCTGGCCGCCGGTGGCCAAGCCCTCAGCTGCCAGCTGGGGCCCAAGTTGAAGGAAGAGGAACTCGCCTCTGCGTAGCAGCTGGGCAGGTAGGGCTGAGCGGGGAAAGGCCAATGACGAACTTTGTGTCCATAGGCCCCCACCCCGTGCAGCCGAAGTACAGCGCCAGGGCCTGGACACCTGGAGCAGACAGTGCCGTACACACCAGAGATACAGGGACCACCTGAAGCAGGAATAGGAGAAAGCCTAGGACAGGCAAAGCCCTGTTCCACTCCCCAACCTGGCTGAAGAGAAAAACCGCATTGTCGGTGGTCACAAGGTGCCTGCTCCTCCCCCGACAGAGGGTCTCCTTCAGTGCTCACCTGCGGGGATTTTCAGATGCCTCCCCTAACTGGGGGGGAAGGGCCCAAACCATCTGGCCTTCCTCCCTCCAAGCGTTGTTTCAGGACTCAGGGAAAGGGGAAAGAGCAGTCCTTTCCCATGGCCTGACAGATTCATGCAGACACAGACACACGGCTGGCCGGCCCGACCACACTCAGAGATTTCTCTGCAGCCGGGACCTGTGCCCCACAGAGCCCCACCATGCCTCCACCTCAGTTAAGAATGGTGATGGGTGTGTACCCCGCAGATCTCGGTGTTGGACCTCTGGTCCCATGCTTCCTTGTGACAGCCTTCGGTGAGTGACTTGACTGTCCTGGGCCTCAGTTTCCTCCTTTGTGGGGTGGGCTTGAAGTCGTGCACCTCTTATCAGGTTCACCTCTGTGAGGTGCTCATGGAACGCCTAGCACATGCACGTGCCCCTGCGATGCCAGCTATTTTTATTACGTGGTCATGTGTACTTTGAACACCCACATCTGCAACGTATACTTCTTGATTATATGCATCTTGATTATAAAACAACCAAGTGCACCTACATCCGGAACTGTCTTGTGCTTGAACTTCTAAATCCAAATTGGAAGAGACGTGTACAGATGCAGCCTGCCCGAGTACAGGCGCATACACTCGCGTGCACGCGCGCGCGCGCGCACACACACACACACACCTTTCTCACACCTGCAGTTCGAGGTCTCAGCTCTAAATGCCCCAAAGTCACTCCTGGACAGAAACATGGACAGCTCTGTCCGAAAGACCCGAGGTCTGGATCTCAATTAGAGCTACACCCCAACAGCCCCTGTCCTGGCTGGCAGTGTAGGGGTCAAATTTGGAAACCTGGAAACCAGGGACACAGAAGACCCAGTGGTGGTGCCTTATGCTGTACCTAGCCACTGGTTCAGGGAGTGGTCAGAACACGAGCTGTCTTCATGGATGGACTTTTATTTTTTATATTTTTAAGGGTTTATCCTTTGGGAACTTAAACACAAAGGGTGGGCCTGGGACCGTGAGGTCCAGAGTAATCTTTTGCACACTCACGCACACTCCCAGCCAGCACACACCCCTTGCTCCTTTGCTGGAGCCAGAGAAGGGAGCTGAGGGTTGTGACCTCTGCCTCCACCCCAGAGCGGCCTTTGACCCCTGCAATTAGCGCCCGGAGGTCAGCAGGCACCAGGACGCCTGCACCCGCAGCTCCGAGCCTGGCAGAAGGCGACCTCACCCCTCCCCTCTGAGTCCCAGACGCCAGGGCGCGGCTGGGCTGGGAGCTGCCGTGGGAGGGGGCTTGGATGGTACCCGCGTCGGTCCCCTTCAATCTGCAGGTCTACAGGTCGCAGGGCTTGGCAGGCTGGTAGCTGACCACTGCACGACCCGTGGCCTGTGTCCGGGCAGATGCAGCCAGGTTTAAAAAAAAAAAAAAAATTCAAAATTTGCAGAAGTATAAGGTAAGAAAGGGAGCGTGGTTGCCCACGAGTAAGCTTGAAGTTGGAAGGCTAGGCACTATGCAGATCTACAGATTTTACGAGGAGCGACCGGCAAAATATTTGGAAGGAGAATTACGAGCGACGGCCCCCACGCTGGATTTCCGAACATTCTTTGGAAACTCAGAAAAGAGAACTGTTCTCATCTGCGGCCGGCATAGGAATTGAAATGATATCCGGGAAAGAAACGGTGGCCGCTTCCTCCGAGGAGGCCCGAGCTGGGGGTGGCGGGCGGCAGAAAGGGACGCAGACACCGCGCCCGCTCCTGCACCCCGAGAGGCGCTGGGGTGCCGGCTGGACGCGGGCGTCGGGGCGCACTGGTGGAGCAGACAGATAGGTGGCACTCGAAGCCCGGGAAAAAAGGCCAAGGCGCCGGCCCCGAGTGGCCTCGGCGGCCGCCGCAGCCACCATAAAGCCCGCGGCGAGATTGCGACCGGCGCCAGGTGAGTAATAGGCTACGAAATCCAGAGATTGCGAGCCCTTCACCGCCGCCCTCCCCCGTCCACCAGCGCCACGAGTTACTCATTAACATCACTAGATACAAATAAGATACCCAGGAGATTAGGACAAAAAAGAGGGAAGCAAAGCCAGCCGGGCCGAGAGGCAGGACCCACCTGGGAGCGCTGGTCCCAAATTTGAGGGACGGGGTAAGGAAGAGGAATCTAAATGTGGACTGAGAAAGAAAAGAAAAGAAAAAAGAAAAACAAAACCCTTTTTTTTTTTTTTTTTGGTCCATCTTGGAAACCAAGTTATTTTCCCCCAGTTTGGAAGCGCGCAACTGGGCGCAGCCCGCCGACTGCCACCTCCTCCGGTGGGGCAGACACGCTTTCCCTTTGGGCACTAAAGAGGCTCCATTCTGTGGCATCTGCTACGCCTAGTGCGCGCGCCCTGCAGTCTCGGGGCGCTCCGGGAGTTCTGGCCCCAAAAGTTCCCCGCCCTCCACCGCCCCGCCGGCTGTCTCCCCTCTGATCCCGGCAGGCTACGCAGGAGTGGCTGCGCGAGTCCCCACGTGTCTGGCCAGAGACGGAAGGGGCTTTGCCCCCTCTCGAAAAGGTCTCGACCTCGTTCCTCCTCCAAGTACAGGGTGAGGCTGGGGAGGGGGTCCCTCCTGACCCCATTCAAGAGGCCTGAAGGTGACAGGGACTTGCGGCCTGGCTGCCGGTCTCCGGGTGGGGGAGGGGTTGCGGGTGAGGGAGCCAGTCGCCAGTAGGCTCTGGCTGGGTCTTTTCGTCAAAGTCCCCAGGATGAGCAAAGTTTAGGACTGATCTCTTGTACATCCTGCACCCCAACACACACACGCAGGCGCGCGCACGCACACACACACACACATACACACACACACACCCTCCAACGCCAAGCAGGGTGGGGAGACTGAAAGACTGACACGACCCCGCCACTTTTTATAGACTATTTCAAAGATAGATTGAACTTTCAGAGCCAGCTCCACGTGCTGCTAGGACACTGGATAAAGGAGAGCGTTGGGGACCGTGCCTGTCTCCCGGGCGGCTTTTTCTTTGGAGGAGGTACGCCCTGGAATTACCTTTCCTTGGCGAGGGGCACGTCCCTCCTCCCTCGCGTGACACACACAAACTGTGTGTGCAGCAGAGCACACAGCAGTCTCTGAGTGGGTGCGGCCTGGCCCAAGTGCCTGGGGCCAGCCTGGTCCCCTGGGAGATGCCCAGATGGCCGGGGTGAGGGGCCCACAGCCCCGAGGGCACTGCCAGGCTGAGCCACGGCCGGCAGCGAGGGTATCTGTGAACCTCCTTCCCAGCCAAGCTTACTGTGCAGTCTTTTGGACTCAGATCCCCTAGATCCAAGTCAAAAGGGAACACAAGTTTAAACTGAAAGAGCTCCTAGCGCGTAAGCTTATTTGGGTCGGCTTGCCAGCGGGGAGGAGGCACTGGCTTAGGGACGGAGGCAAAACCTTTTGCGATTCCAATTTAAGTATCTGAACCGACTGCTCTTTCCGAATTCCAATCAGGTCCCACTTGTGTCCGGTTTTGCTGCCTCATTTAAAGGAAAAGTGTTTTCAGATTGGAGCAGATCACTTCCCCAGAGTCAGGGACTTTTGTTTTTAGCCTTGTAACTTGAGTGACAAGCTGCTGTGCTTCGCTGGGGGCGGTCTCAATTATTTAAAGGCGAAAGGAAAGGCGAGAGAGGAGACCCTGTCCTTCTCCTCTGCCACCTTCCCGGGGAGCTGTCAAATAAGCATTTAGAACGAGGCCCAAAGGTATTTCAATAAAAATTTATTGAAATTTCAGTGATGTTTTAAAGAGGGGGAAAACACAGAAAACCAAGGAATTCATCGACAGCTAAACACAAAAGAGATAACCTTCATGGGCTTCCTAATGCCACAGCACCTAACTTTGAAAGTGTGAATCTCTCTAGGCACCACCTCGAAACGCCATCCAACGGACAACAGCAGTAAATCCCATTTGTTTTAAGGAAATCAGAAACTAGCAAATACAAATACAAAAGAAAAATTAGGAAGTCAAACCACAGCCCTTCCCTCCCACTGCAATCTCAGACCCCGGCCCCGTGTCAGATCTGAAGGAATTTCATGTGGAGCCAGCCGGGAAGTGCCAAACTCCTCCCCAGCTTTGGCTATAATAGGAAATAGCACTTTCCCTGCACTCTCGACATGGAAAAAAAAAAAAAAAGAAGAAGAAAAATAATTTCGCAGACAGCTCTTTCTGAAGGTGTGTAGGTGTCAGCGCAGGAAGTCTGTTTTCTAGTGGGAACAGCAATCCTCTGACCTGGAAAAACCAACTAAAGGAAAACAAGAACAAAACCTGACAGTTGCAATCCTATTTACATAGAGCTATGTACAATTGTCAATAAATTAAAAGTTTAATTTTCTGAGCATTCATATTCCACGTATTTACAGGAGTTATCGAATAATTACATAAATACTTTGTCTAATAGTCTCGCTTCTTCTTTATTATTTTTTAAAACCTTGTTATTGCATACACAGGAAGGAGAACGAACTGCCAAGGAGGAACATGGATCCTGCTACAGAGCTTAGATAAAATAAATTCAGCTTTTTCTCCAAACCCTTCCCTGGAAGTCCCCCATCCCACTTCTTTGGGGGGTTGAGGGCACGGCATTGAGAAGGGATGGGGTCGTTCTCTCTAAAAGCAAGCGTCCAAAATAAAAACCCACAAATACATGACTGTGGAACATGCAGGAAGAAGAGACCTACAGCGGCTCTTAAAAGATCACAACAATATTAAAAAGACACAAATTTCCTTAATATAGATTAAACAAGAACGGTGAGGGCCTGCCAGCCCTCAGCATCGCTGCCCAGCAATTTACTGCGCGCACTGATTCTTCACAAGTCATTCTCTATAAAGGTTTCAATCTTCACCAACAGAATCATGTTCATGGATTCATTTGTCCCTGTTTAAAAATCTGTTTTCTTAATTTTTGTTTCCACTTGACAGAGCGAAGGAAAAAATATATATTTATATATAAATCCTCGCGGAGGGAAGATGGCTTTCAACACCTCCCCTCCTCCGGGGTGGGCCTGGCTACCTCTTCAGTCATGGCTTCTACAGCAGCCTCAAGGAAGTTGTTCTGGAATAAAATCCTTCTTACCCCACCCCCGCCCCCCATTGCTCAGTGCGTCAGCCGCTTTCTTGAGCCCCCAGAATGCAAGCCAGATCCCAGACACAGAAACCACACTGAGAAGACAGGGCCTGGGGCTCACCCTCGGGGGAGGCCGGCGCCCCTCCCCAAACACCGGCCCCAAAACGCGGGGAAAGCGCAGAGCCGGCCTTGTGGTTTGTTTTACATCCCCAAAAAAGTGCACTGCAGATTCATTGAATTGGAATGAAGGTGCCCTGCCGGGAGGGTCTAGGGGGACCCGCTGCGGGACCTCTCGGGCTTGGCCTCCAGGCCACTGACCAGCCGCTGGATGCTCTGCAGTTCGCTGGTGGCCGCCTCTTTCTCCGAGCAGAGTTTGGGTGACAGGGACACGGTGATGGAGGACAGCGTGGAGGAGCGGCTGTTCAGCTCCGAGCCCGAGTCCATGGCAGATACCGAGGCGGGGCTGGCGGCCAGGGCAGTGGCTTTGGCATCCAGGGTCCCCGCGGCCATGGCAGGCAGCGCGGCGCCGAGGAGGCCGCCGCCGTCGGGGACTGGCACAGGGATGGAGTAGGGGCTGTAGCGCAGCCGCGGGCGCATGCTGTTCAGGCTGAGGAAGGGGTGGCGGTGCACGGAGCTGGAGGCTGCCGCCGAGGATGCGGCCGCTGCCGCTGCCATGTAGGTGTAGGGGTACGGAAACAGGCTTCCGAAGGGCGACATGGCCAGGCCCTAGGGGGAAGAGAGGACACAGCGCGTCAGCACGCCTGGCCGGCTGGACTGGAGCATGGCTCCTGAGGGTGGGTGGCTGCACCTGTCCACAGGGCTGTCTACCCACTGCAGCAGCTGGCTGGGGGTGGGGGCACTGGGGACCCAGGTTGTCACAGATCATTTATTTCTGTCACTCTGGCCCTCCCCCAAAATTTCACTCCCATCCTAAGATTTTCCCAAGTGGAAAAGAAATTTAAAAAGAGCAAGATGGGGGCGGGGCATCTAAAGAAGCTCTTCCACCAACAGAGCCCCGGAAGCCATCAGCAGGCTAGTGGGTGACACAGGTGGGACACTGAGAGTCACTCAGCTCAGCAGCAGAGCAGATAGGTAGGGAGGGCTGTGCTCAGGGTCCCCTTCCCCTAAGGGTCACCTGATCCCTGGGAAAGGCTAGGGAACTGCCAGAGAAACTGAGGCAAGGAGAAGCCAAGCCTGCGCTCGCCTCCCCCACCCCACCCCCCAGCCAGCCCTGCCTCTTGGTCCCAGAAGGGAGACGAACGTGCTTAGACAAAACCAAAGCTGAGCACCTGTAGAAAGTCCAGACGCCTTCTGCCAGGCTCAGGGTGGGCTGGGGGGCCCAGGCCTTCTCCCCGGACCCCGCACACTGGCACAGCTGTATGCAGAATCCCTTAACCCTGGGCAGGGGCAGGGTGGGCTGCCATAAACCCCAAGGGAGGAAAAGCTGGAGAACCAGGACTGGATTCTCACTCAGGGACTCAATCCCTTCCCCAGGCCTACAGCCCCCTCTTGTCTGATTGGGGGGGCGATGCTGTCTAGGACATATTTCAGGGACATTTCAGCTCCCAAACAAAACAAAACCAAACCCCCAAAACTGACAAAAGCCCTGGAAGTAACTCCAACATCAGCCTGTCTGGGAAAAGCCTCAGCTCCTCCAGGGATCGGCTGTGTGGCCTTAGACAAGTTCGTCAACTTCTCTGGGCCTGTTCCTCTCCACCTGAAAAGCGACATCCTAAAAGACCCGCTGAAGAGCAAGAGACTTTGAGCCACACTAGACCCCAAAGCCAGAAGAGGACCTGGTCCTCACTACTGGCTTCAGTAGGGTTTCATGGGGAGGGCAGATGCGCTCAGGGACTGGTGACAGAAGTGTCACATCCACCAGTGGTCAATACAGGTAACAAGAACAGGAATGTTATTTAAAACTTCCACCAAGGGGGCTGGCAGTGGGATGCCAGGCGGGAGTGGCGGAGGCGCGTGGCTGCAGAGGCCTGAAGGCGCAGCTTACCTGGGAAGCCAGGACGTGCTGCTGGAGGTGGAAGGGCAGGGTGGCAGCTGAGGTCCCAGACAGTCCCTGCGCCGCGGCGGCTGCGGAGGCCATAGCAGTGGAGTCTAGTCCGGAGACGCCGCCGGAGGACGCGCCGGACACGGTTGCCAGCAGCGGCCCCATGCCCGCGGCCATGCTGGAGAAGGCACTGCCCATGGCAAACTGGCCGGGATGCAGGAAGAGCGGGTGCCCGTTGAAGAACTGCTGGCCGGCAAGCCCTGGGGCGAAGCCGAGGCCGGGCAGCGGGCCCTGCAGGTGTGCGGCGGCCGCCGCATCCGAGTGCATATGCAGAGGCACGAAGGCCTCCTTGCCGGGCAGCGCGCGCGCCTCCTCGGCCTTGGCCACCACCGCTGAGCCCTCACGCCCCGGGCTCCTGCGCTCCTCGGCGCCGGGGCCACGGGTGCTGGACGAGATGGTGGCCGGGCTGTGGCGTGAGTCCGGAGACGCCTTGTCTGGGCGTGCGTTGTCCCGCGAGCGGCCGCTGGTCTCGGCCCCGAAGAGGTGCAGCTTGAGGCAATCGGGGCTGCCCTTGTCTCGGCTCGGCTCCTCCGACGTGGTGGTGGAGATCTTGGCCGCGTCGCAGGTCTCCGGGACATGCTCCTCCTTGCTCTCGGCCTCAGCATCGCTCTCGGCCTCGCTAGGACACAGGTCTAGAAGCCAGAGAGGAAGGATTAGCTTGGCCTGGGCCATCAGGAGTCTGCGCCCACATGGGAACCCACCTCGACCTCCTATTAGCTGCACAACCCAAAGCGAGCCCCTCAAGCCTCTCCACACCTCAGTTTTCTCATCTGCAGAATGGGCCCAAGGGCACGGAACACCTTGGCTCTCAGATTCAATTAAGTCCATAATGAATTCAAAGCATTACACCCATCTTCCCCTCCCTCAAGCCGACATCCTGCAAATCAGTGGCCCTTCTTATTATAACGACTTCACTTCTTCCTAAATGGAGCATCTACTGAGCTCCCACTGTGTGGCAAGGAGACTGCACCCATTTGATTGCAAATTGACTTTTTAAAAATAAAAGCCCTTGAATGGTTTCTGCCTAAATTGCTCTAAAGATCACTGCTGGGATACATTCCAGCTACCATCAGGGTCTTCCTTTAGTGAATGACCAAGGTCAGCACCTTCCACCAATTTGTGGGTTATTCTGGAAAGATCTATCTGTGAAACTCCGGACATCTGAACTGGCAGTGGCTGAAGGGAGCACCACTCCCCCAATGTCCCTGCTCCAGGGGGGATTCTGGGTGGGTGTCTCCCTCACTACAGAGCTGTGATAGGAGCCCAGGTAAATCACAGAGTCTTGTGCTTTCATGGATATCCTGGAGGGCAGGAACAGAAAAAAGGGGACTCTTTTCTGCTTAAGCCCTCAAGGACTGAAGACATAAAGGGCTCTCATTTCGTTTCACTGAGAAATAGGTTTCTTCTTGCGGGCTGTGATTTCCCAAATAACAGGGCCTGCACTTTTAGACAGTGACCCATCTCCTCACCCACCCTGCCCCCAGCGGGTCCCTGGGCCCCCACCCACCAGTCTCCTGGTCAGCTGTGCCTGTCTAGTTGATGTCTCTGCCCCATGCCCTGCTTTTGGTGGGTGAGAAGCCCCCCCCCCCCAAGCCCTTGAGGTGAAATCAGCACCTACAGGTGGTCTTGGTTGGGGGAGGAAGGCACGTTGAGAAAAGAGAAGAGGAAAAGGGGGGACACCTTGGGCAACTTCCTGAGCTAATCCTGCAGAGAGGCCAGCTCCCCCCATTCATCAAAGAGGATTTGGGGAGGGGCTTCTGAGCTCTCCAGTGCTCTAAGAAGACCTGGTACACCTGACACCCTCTTTGACCTCTGGCTCCTGTTTACAGAGCTAGAAGAGGCAGCAGTTTCCAAAGGGGAGACCTGCCCATTGCTTCCCACCCCTAGCACAGCCAGGCTGGGGTGACCCAGGTCCAGTCACAGCGCAGGTGGCCGGGCTCACCTTTGAGATTCGAGGTCCCTACAGTGGACACCGCTGGTGAAGAGGCCTGGGCAAAGCAGCTAAAGGTTGCGTGTTCACTGGAGGACTCATCCGAGGTTCCAGTCTCCTTCTTGTGTCGCTCATCAAACACTCGCATGGACTGCAGGGTGAGCTGCTTTCTGTGGCGGAAGCCCACACCCAGCGTTACAGGGGTGACACAGAGACGAACCCCCCCTTAGCTTGCCTTGCCCTTTCCAAAAGGGCATCCTCAGCTCCCACTTAAGTTTCTGAAATCTGCTTGCCCTGGAGGCAAGAAACACAGGGCCTGGCATTATTTTTGACCTCCCTAACTGGGCCAAAGAGTGTGGCCTTAGGGCGTGCAGGCAGGAAGGGTTTTGCTGCCTTTATTCAAGACTAAGTTATTAGGAAGGGTCTTTTCCTCGAGCTGTGAAATTTTGTCTAGCACAAGAAGAGAGAGGCTGGAGTTGGCTTAGATACAGAGCCAACCTGAGGCAGTGGGGGGGGAACTGGGTGTCCAAGCTCCTGACAACAGTGCAGTTTGTCTGCAGCCTGCCCAGCTCCTGCCTGGCTTCCAAGGTCAGGAGGAAATGGTTATTTCATGGCTCTCTCTACAGTAATCAGTTTTCCAACCCATTAATTGGAGTTCAAATTTATTTAGACATTAGAAATTATTTAATGTCCCCCCCGTCCCCAGGGAACAGGCTAAAACTTGGGGGTAACTTTTTGGATGTTAGTAAAAAAAAAATCTTAAGAGGACTGGGGGAGGGGAGGGCCTCTCTCATATAGCTCCAGCTGTCTACTCAATGCAAAATGATACTGGACCCATGAAGGAGGGAGGAGGCTGGAGATTCCTCAAGGGGCCCCCACTCCGTCTGATGGTATTTGGGAGACAAGACTGCAAACATTCCAAAGCATTTTGTGAATGAATGGCAGGGTTTTCCTAGAACCGTCCCAGAGTGAACTAAAATTAATTAACAATTCATTGCTATCCCTGTGGAATCCACTATTTTTCTTCCACAGACAACTATGATGTGAGCTGGTCAATATTCTCCGAGGTCATAGACGGAGGCAGAAAACATACCTGTACATGGGCAAGAGCATAGCAAAGGGGGAGTGGACATTTTCCACCCACTCTTAGTTTGAGTACTTGCCTCCCTCTGCCTGCACTTGCAAGTTAAGTTCTGGAAAAGTGGCTCATTTTATAAGCTGCCTGAAAAATGACTAAGTTGTCTCCACTCACCTTTTTTCTCTCCTGCCATTTCCAGTGTCCCGAAAACCTTTTGCAAATGGGTTGTTGTCTATTTTTAACTGTGTTATCTAGAGGAGAAAAGACACAAGCAAGAAAGAGACATTGGCTTCAGTTTCTAGAATGTTTTTCTCAGGGGAAATTCCACCGGCACAGCGGTCTCCCAGCTAGGTGCCTGCATGCCCACAGAAGTCATATGGATGGACCTGACCCGGGAGGGAACGGAGAACCGTGGCAGAACCCCAGAGCTGCTATGAAACCACCAAAAGGACCTACACTAGGGCTTGTATGGCCCATAGCAGGTCAAGCTAAGGGTCGGTCTGAAATTCTCCAAAGGAAACTTGAGTTTTAAGTTTAAAACACAGCTAGCATCTAGAAACAGAAATGTCCCCCAAAGTTGTCAAGAAAGACAACTGAGGGGCCAGGGAGATGGCTCAGTACAATAAGCGCTTGCCTGGCAAGCACAAAGTCCTGAGTTCAATCCTGATACTACCAAATAAATAAATAAATAATGGGCCGGGGAGATGGCTCAGTAGAATAAGCGCTTCCCTAGCAAGTGCAAGGGCCTGAGTTCAATCCCCGGTTCCACAAAAAAAAAAAAGAAAGAAAAGAAAAGACAACTGTAAGATTTGAAAATTATACATTCGTTGATTTTTATATAGTGCAATTAATTATAAAATACATGAACACGCGTGGGCGCACACACACACACACATGCGCTGGCACACACACTTAGCATACACTCTATCCAACCTTTTCCATGGATCTAATAAAATGATTTATGGGATTTTGTTACCCTTGTGCTGGAATGATTTTGATTTTTTTTTTTTTTGTGGGGGAGGGGACAGGGAGCAGTGGTGGTTTGAGGAATTACAATATTGGCAACTACAGATTAAAAAGCACTGAATGACCACGGAAACATTTGTTTTCATTTATGTGTTCTGCCACTGCCCTTAGGTAGAGAGGGCCCTTGGTCTTTCTGGTCTGATCAGAAATGCTACCTTTTACTATTACATTCGCAGCTTAGTTTCCCAGGATCCTGAGGCTGGAGGGGGCCCCTGCATTTTGCAACTGGAGGAAAACAGCATAGCATACAAACTTTCAAACCTTTTCCCTTGGGAGGAAGAGGGATAATCTCTACTCAGTTACCCTTGGGTGGAAAAAAGCCCCTTGTACTTGGGATTCTTGTACTTGGAAGAAATCACTTGATGTCAAAATTCTGGTTTTGCAATTGGCAAGATTTTGCAAGGTGGTGAGATCTGAGCACCCGTCCCCAACTAAGGTTTATCTAGAAGCTCACTGTAAGTTTACAGGGACCCTGGGGCAGTGACTGTGGTCAGTCTAACAGGGCGTGGCCAGGTGACATGGGCTCCTGCTGAAGGCCAGGACTTCGGAGCCGGAGCTCTTCCCCTACCCCCATCTCTGTTCTTCAGGCCCTGGTGGGAGCTGAAAACTGGTCAATCACCAGCAAGGGCCGCTCTCTTTGCCCAGGTACTCAGTGTCCATGACCTTCAAGACCACCAGACCTGGAGATCATAGATGCTGACCCATTGGGTGGGGGGCGTCCTTGGAAATCCCAGGTTCAGGCCCAAAGGGAGAAAACTTTTGCCATGAATTGGCACCTTTGGCTATTTCCAGTGAAGCCAGAAGCTTCAGACAACTTGATTAGCATGATCTGTGGTCAGGGGAGGTTTTTTACAATCATGCACATGCATGCGCACGCACGCACGCACACACACACACACACACACACACTCGTGTATGCATGCACTCGTACATGGGCGCACGCATACTCACACATACACACCATAAAAACCAGAGCCGTATAAAGGTAATAAAAACCAGACCAACTACCCAGGATTTCTGGCTAGGGAAGAAAAGCTGGGCTCTCTGCTAGGCCTCTCCTTCCAGGACTCCAAAAAGCTTTTGCCTAAAATTTTAGCCGGTTCCTTTCACACCTACTATCCTGTCCCTTCCACCTAAAGGAGAAAAGAATGGACACTGAAAGAAACAAGACAAAGCCCTGGGAGTCTGGGGTTGGACTGGCATGGCCAACGAAGTCAGTAAAACCTGCTTACTGACAAAATTAATTTAGCATATTTAAACTCTACACTGGTTGAGAGTTTTATCTCTAGCTCCCTGGAGAAGCCAGTCAGTGTCCCTTTCCAAAATGTTCTATAGAAGGCCAAATCACAAATCGCGAAAGAAAACACAAGTCTTGCATCCCAGTGCCCTTTAATTTTCTCACCCTGATCCGAAGCAGCTTAAAGGGCTGGAGAAGGGCAGAATCAGAAGCCAAGGCCCCCGTTACCTTGTCATTCTGGTACGCAGTCACGGCGATGAATTCAGTCTCTGGGAATAAGTAGGTCCGAAACGTACTATAAGGCAGTTTCAAGATGTCATTGGCTCTTACAATGTGGAACCGGGGCTGGTATTTGTGCATGGAGTTGAGGATTGTCTGTAGGGATGGAAGGGGAGACATACTCAGCCAAAGGATTTACCAGAACAAACCGGATCGTAGGACCCCTGCTAAGCTGACATCTTCCCCTCCACAGGGCACCACGCTGGGATGAGCCCACCTCCTTGGGGTAACTCCTGGGGTACAATATGCTCTGTAGATCTTATCTCCTGGGGAATCCAAACTGCTCCTGGCTTCCCAAGGGCGCCCCCCCCCCAATCTAAGAGGTGCATTCGTATCTCAAACCCTAGCCTACCTGAGTCCCAAAACTATAATTCCCCTGCCACGCTGGATGATCACTGGGCCAATTCTTAAAAGATAGAGAAAAACATGCATTTTAATTTACAAAATGATTCAGTACTTTAAGCGCCCGCTAATTGACGAGCCCAATCCACTTAAAGCCCTCAAAAGCTGAACTCTAGAGAGGAATATGTACGCTGTAATCAAATTAAGGACTTCAAATGCAATTCCTGCCCGCCGAAGATATTTCCGCGCCATCCACGTCTTCCTGGGCCTAATCTTTCTGCTTATTCCTTGCTTATCACTTTGTTTATTTTATTGAATTGTTGGGGAGGGGCTAGGAGGGGCGGAAAGGTCCTCTGCCCAGCTCTCAGTAGCAACTGAAGTCTTCCAAGAGCTCTAGGCAATTCCCACACTGAATCCATCGATACAATCCCAACACACACACCACTTCTAGTACCAAAGATCTATGCCTCATTTCTAATAACTCTAGCTGAACCCAGCCCAATTCTCTTTTAGTAAAAAAATAAATTTTCAAGAAGGTATTTATACCCTTTCACAAAAATGGCCAAGGCTTTAAAAACTTAAGCTCCCACAAGAAATAATATGGCAGGCTTCAAAGAGAAGTGTAATGTTCTAAAGCAAAACAAAGCCTTTACCAACACGAACACATAGTTTTAAAATCAGTTCTACCTATTATTACTTTTTAAAACGACATCGGTCACGTCCAGTATCTGCCAAGGACCTAGAATTGTTGTACAACACAACCTGGGACATTTTCCTGGCCTTGTTTCTCTTAGAACGCCAGGCTTTCCACCCTCCAGAGAGAGAAAACACCCGGAATCCTCTCTCCAGCTCCGTGGCAAATCGAACAACTTTGCTATGTTTAGCAACAGCAAGCCGGGGAGAATTCCGTGCCGAAACTCAACTCGGGAGTTTAGAGGGAATGGGGAGGGCAGCTTGGACAGTAAAGGAAGAAACTGACTGAAGAGAGAGGCAGTGCCGCCGAGCACAATGAAACTTACAAATCCGTGTTTGTCCGAAATGTTGTTGGTGAGTTTCAGTTTGTGGAAGGTGACGACTTTAGACATCCACTGTTCCCCGGTAGCGGGGCTGTCCGGGTGGATGTACATTCTCTTTGGCATTTCGGGGTCAGCCTTACCCGCCACCATCCACCGTGAATTGTGAAATTTATATCGACAGTCGTCAGCAGCTATAATGTCCATCAATAAAATATACTTGGCCTTCTTATCCAGTCCAGAACATCTTACTTTAAATGGAGGGAACATTCGCCTACAACAGGAAAGAACAGAAAAGAAAAAAGAAAAAAAGGAATCCTTCAGATTCTCGAGTTCCAACCTCTCATCTATTCTAAGGTATTTAGACAAAGTTTAAAGTCTGTATTGGGACTGAGGAGATCCTGTTTTGTCAGAGTAGGGCAACTGGGGGCACACTTATTTTCTTCCACACAGAAGTAAATGAAACAATTCCTGTCTATTCAGGTATCTGGAGATTCAAAACAAAGAATTATGACACTGAATTTCTCGAGTTTGTGTAATGACTTGTTTGATTCTTACCCTCTGTGTGACTCTACGGCTCACCCTCTGTACAGAGAAATTCTTGTCTGTGTCTGTCTTGGTGTGTTTAGTTCTGAACAGCTTTGGGTAAAACTTTGAGCGAAGGGCAGATCAGTCAAGGCAAGGATTTTCTACCGCCCACGGATGAGAAAAATGCTAAACCCATTAAGGAACTAAACATCCAAACGTGTACTCCTTCCTGGGCCAACGGTAATCCCGCTGCTGGCGAAATGCAATTGGACTCGTGTGTGAGGACGAAATGGATCAGCGTGGACTCCGGGCCCGAGAGCCCTGGTGCTTTCTGTGGTGGTAGCCACGGCCCACCACTGCCTAGGCCAACCCTAAACTGCACGATCGTGCCACCAAGCTGCTGTTGGCTTTCACAGGAGTGCTGGCATTCTGTGCTTTTGACTTAAAAGGAAGCACTTCGCTGAGAAAACTGCCTAACCGTCTTGTGGGTTTGAGGAGTTCATGCCAAACTTTGGCCTCATTTAGCTTGGAAGGAGAGAAGAAAGTTGAAGACATCAAGAGGGGAACTTTATTTTGAACCTTTCAACTTGATGCCTCGATAAACCTCAATGCTATTTTTTTTTAAAAAAAATCAGTGATTCTAAATGACTTCCCTGGGCTCCTGTCTCCCAGGCAAGATGCGGTGAAGCTAGGAGCTCCAAATGGTGTGTAAAACATGATTTCTAATGTTCACGCAGCAAGCAGTGTGCACAGCCTAACTGGCTCCTCAGTTCTGCAAGCAGAATCTTAATTATCCAAAATTGCCTACTGAACTCCCCCTCGGGTTACAGACCCTTGAAGTTGTGTGGTGGAACAAACCCCAACGCTCTTCCACTTCTCTGTAAGCCCCGCAGAACAGACACAGGTCCCCTCTGGCCCCAGAGGCCAGACGGAAGGGCAGAGGGGCGGGGGACACTCGCAGGCCTTTTAGTACCACACAAAAGAAAGGGGATTTTGGTATTTCTCCCGGAGAGGAAAATACAACCGATTCAGAAGAAAACAGAAAATCCCATACAGAAATAAGGGTGTTCCAGAAAGCTTTGAGGAGCAGCCTTCCTGAAATGAGGTTTTCCTGATTCCTAAGAGGATGTCTGGATTCCACTGAAAAATCTCATCTGTTCCTCAAGAGAGCCCGGGATGCAGAGGTAAGGAACCACCGAGCAGGCACCCAGGTAAGCTGAAACTTCCTGTGGCTAGGGCAGGGCCCCGGAGTCGGTGCACACTTTTAGGGGATCTAAGTTTTCCAGCAAGCTTTAACAAGCAGCAGGGCAGCAGCAGCTCTAGGAAGGTGAAGCTCAGGAGGGAAATCCTTACCTAGGTAGGTGAGGGGGCTCCGCGCACGGGCTTACCTGCCGGACTTGGTAATGACCATCTCTGTGCCCCGCTTGTGGAACTGATCCCAGAGCTCCTTGGCCTCCAGGTGCACCTTGGGGTCATCCTCCACTTCTTCTTCGGGCTCCATGGCCTTCAGAGGCCTCAAAGGCGCCTGGGGCCCCAGCGAAGAGAAAGGAATGCCGGTCTCGGCCGCCCCCACCAATTGATCCATGATCGGCTTGGCCAGGGCGCCGGGCAGCGACAGCGCCGTGGCGCCGTTGGGAGGCAGCGTCAGCGCGGGGAAGAAGGGCGGCTGGTGGCCCAGAACCGCGCTCATGGCGAAGTCCGGCGCCCGGTGGGGTAGGAACGGATGGTAGGCCATGCTCGTCCCAGGAATGACCGGATCTCTCATGGAGAGGCTCATCCACTCCCGGCAGGCGCAAGTCAGCAGCTGTTGTCTCGTGTTTGCTTTTGTTTTGTTTTGTTTTTTTTTCAGCAGCAGCACATATTTTTTTTTTTTTTGTAAGCGGAAAAAAGAAAACCAAAACAAAACAAAAAGGAAGAAATAACTAAAGCGCTTCGGAGGAAGAGAGGACAGTGTCTGTTGGGGAGGGGGACGGCTGCTTCTTAAAGAGGGCAAGGCGACAGATCGGGAGACATAGTCGCTGGGCGGCTGTCGCGGAGCCTGGCGTGTTTAGAAAGCCGCCCGTGGAGGTCGCTTTCGGAAGCTCGCGCCGGAGCCCTGCCGCGGAGCTCGGGACGGACACTGCAGCCCTCGGCCCCGGGATCGCTCCCCAGCCCCAAGGTCTTTGTTGCACACGCGAACGGTTCTCCTGGAAGACTTTTTACCTTTCCTTCTTCTTCTTCTTTTTCTTCCCCCGCCCCCTTATCTCTTCCTCTCCCTTTCTCGGTGGAGGCGTCTGCCAGTGCGCTGGACTCGGCTTTAGTAAGAGAGCAGAAAAACTCTCTCCTTTAAGAAAAACAACAACATAAGCGGATTTAAGCCCCTTCCAGCCAGCGCTATCAAAACTTGAACTGCATGCAAACTGGCTTCCGTCCGCCCTCCTCCTCCTTCCTCCGCTCGGAGCTGCGGAGAAGGCGTCTCGGTTGCAATCCCAATCTTGCCGCGCGCCTCTGCCGGGTCTCCTGTCTCTCTCTGCCTTGTCTGAAACCGTGAGCGATTTCGCTTCCGAAATCTGCGTCCGGGCGCGCGGGGCAGGGAGGATCGAGAACGGAGAGACGCAAAGGACGGAAGAGAGCAGAGGGAGAGGGAACGAGAAGGAGCCGGAGCAGGCGAGGAGAGGGAGGGCGCGAGGGAGGGCGCGGAGAGGCGAGCGCGAGCTCCTCGCCACCCTCCTCCGCCTCTAGAATTCCCCCGGCGTCTGCTCGGCGGCTCTAGAAGGTCGGGCTGCGCTGTGGGCTGCGGAGAGCCGGAGGCCTCTTGATTGGCTCTTTGACGCTTTCGGACCAATTGTGTGGCTGCATAGGCGTGGTTATCACAGGTCGAGTGCTGGGGGATAGAGCTGAGTTATAAAAAGAAGGTGTCGGAAACTGTAACGTCGCAGCGCCGCAGCGGTACTACTGCCCGTCCTGTGAATATGTCAACATGATCCGAGGGAGGGCGGGAGCCACCGCGGAGCGCGCGCGCAGAGTCGCCTCTAGGTGGCTTATCGAGAGATCGCCGCAGCCCGTGAGCTCGCTCGCTCTCGCTGTGGTTCAGCCCACGTCTGAAATGCCTCAGTCACCCAGCCCGGGATCGAGAGAGGGGGCAGGGCCAAGAGGAGGAAGGGGGAGGGAAAGAGACAGAGACAGAGAGGGAGGGAGGGAAGGAGGGAGCCAGCCTGCGGGCCGGGAGAGCCGGGCGGAGCGCTCGCCGGGGCGCCGGGTAGGGGCGCTCGCCTCTCGTGCGCTCGGCTCACCGCTGAGCCGAGCCGCGGCCGCTTCTCGGCAGCTCGGCCTCTTCTCCTCGCCAACCCCGGGCGAGCCGAGCTGGCGGCGGATCCTCCAGAGAGCTGCCATTCAGCTGCCGCGCGCCGAGGAAACCGGCCGCGGAGCCGCGGAGCCTCCAGACGCTCTCCAATCCCACGTGGAGCGGAGCTCCGCCCGGCCGCGGCTAAGTAAAGGTCCCCGAGCTAGTGCAACCCGGTGCGGCTCCCCTTCCAGCCCGGCTGGAGGAAACACGAGCGCATGGGTGCAACCAGATCTCGGCACCCGAGTAAGCCTGTCCGCACTCCACCGTGCCCCACCCAACTGCGGAGACCCCAAAGCCCCCAGTGCGCTGTCCCCGAACGCGCGCCACACACCCAAGCCGAGCCACACGTACAAGCAAATACGTACACAGCCCTCGCGCCGGGCCCTGTCTGCGCTCCCTGTGGGAGATGGACTCGGGATATTTTGAAACGCGTCTACCAACCCTTTTATATCTCATCTTTCGTGTGGATGCGGGCTCCCGGTATTCCACCCGGATGTCTGTGAGGGTGTAGAGGGGAGAGTAGAGGCTCTGGACAAAGTGATTGCAGCGACCGAAGAGGTCCTGGCCTGTCCATTCCACGCCACTGCCTTCACCTCGGGGGCCGGCACGGTGTGGCGCTGCGGGCAAGGGGTGGGCGAGCTGGAGGGGGGCGCGCCAGCCTGTATCTGCTCCAGGCATCGCACTTATCTTTCGGAGCCTCAGTTCTTTCTCCACCGGGGCATTTATCTCGCCAGAAGTCGGGGGTGAATTTGTAAAACAAACCGTGAAACGCCCCCACCCCAGAGGCAAAGGCACTGGTTCCAGATCAGGTAGGGTGGGGGCCTCCGCCCAGGGCGGAGAGGAGGGAGGCGACCCGACCTCTGATCAGACCTGTCGTGGAACTGATAACCTTGTTACTGCAGCTCCTACCTACCGGGCTGGGAAGCTTCCCCTAAACCCACCGTTTCGGCTTCTTGGAGTGGGGGTGGGAACGAGGACTTGGACTGTCCCTGTTTAGATGGAAGGCGATCTTGGGTGGGGGTCAGAGCTTTTACTCTTTCTGATAGGAGAGTTTATTGCAGTAGAAAGGGCACACTGGAAGAAAGAGCTGGGCTTCAGGCCTAGGGGGCTGAGATCCTCAGTTTGGGACGTCTGCATCTACAGATCAGCAGTGTCCTCCGAAGCATTTTGCTTCCGGTGCCCCCTGAACCAGCAGCTGCCAGACCAAAGTGGCGGCTACTGTTAGGTTAACAATGAGGTGCTGTTGTGAACCAACCGCCCTGAGACAGAGGAAGAACTTTTGAGGCGACAAAGCTTTTCTAGCCTCGCATTTTCGACGCACATGGTCAAGAACACTCGCCGGGCGCCAGCACTGAGCAGTCCCTGAAGTCACCAGGACAGCGGCGCGCTAGAACTTGGTCTCCCCTTTCATTCCCTTTGGGCCTTCCTCTCTGCCTGCGGTTGAGAAAAGAGAAAGGGAGAGTGAAGAGAAAGAGGCGGGGAGGCCCGGAGTGCTGCCTCTGCTCCCCCCATTCTGCAGGGTGCGGGAGACCAGGCCTCAGCCCCCTCTCGCCCGCGGTGGAGGTCCCTGCGGGCCTCTGCGAGTCTCCCAAGGCCCAAAGCGCCCCCGGCCCCACAGTGCTCGCTGCCAGCGGGCCTGGGTCCTCCGGCTGCGCTGCCCTGATCGGCTCCAAATCCCCGTGATCTGGTTCTGTCTGCACTCGCCGGCGAATCTGCCCGCTGCGCCCCGTGGAAGGCCAGGAATTCTGCAATCACAACAGGACTGGCCCCCTCCTCACCCACTCGCTGCCCGGAGGGCTTGCCTGCCGGGCAGAGAGACGATCGCCCGGCTCCTCTGCATTCTGACCTCCCGAGTCCTTTGCAAATGAGAGAGGGACTTGCTGGGTTTTACTTGTAAATATCGCCACTCGCTTTAGGTTCCAACGTGGACCGAGAGCGCTTCCTGCCCCTCACCCTGTCACCCCCCCCATCACCCACTTTTGTCTGTGGCTCTAACTTAAACCTGGAGTCACCCCCGTGCGCCACTTCTGGTCCCCACCCCCACTCCAGCGCTCGAGAGAGTGGGTGGGGGTGGGGAGACGAAAGTTTGCTGGGTTCTGAACCAAAAATCTCGACATCTTGCTAATGGTCTGCAAACTTCCGCAATTATGACTGACCTCCCAGACTCGGCCCCAGGAGGCTCGTATTATGCAGGGAGGCCGCCGTAATTCTGGGATCAAAAGCGGAAAGGTGCGAACTCCTCTTTGTCTCTGCGTGCCCGCCGCGCCCCCCTCCTGGTGGGTGATAAACCCACTCTGGCGCCGGCCGTGCGCTGGGTGATTAATTTGCGAACAAACAAAAGCGGCCTGGTGGCCACGGCATTCGGGTTAAATATTGGCCATCGCGTTCCTGAGGCTTGTGCCAGGCCAGGCTTCCGGCGGAGCCTGCGAGGCAGAGTGCCCTGAGCCCTGGCTTTAGGCTCCAGCCGCTGTCTCTACGCGCCCGGTCCTTTTCTTTCTTTCTTTCTTCTTCTTCTTTTCTTTCTTTCTTTCTTTCTTTCTTTCTTTCTTTCTTTCTTTCTTTTTTTTCCTCCTCTCTTGCTCTTTCTAGCCCTTTATCTTCATTCCCTTGGCCTCAGGCTCAACAAAAGGTACACAAGAAACATTGAAACTGTTGCTTCACACAGCCCAAGAAGCTTCTGCCTGCAGGGTGAAAGAAGCCAAGAAGTCCACTATCTGGGTGGGAATGAACCCCGAAAGCTACAACTTTTGGAAAAAAAAAAGTTTCTACATTATGGTAGGCCTAGAATTTTTTAAAAATGAGAAAGTTAAAAACTCCTCTCCATAAGCGTAGAAGGAGTGTGCAGAAAGCCTATGCGCATGCCCGCAAAGGTCAATGGCAGGAGCCCCTCAAATGCTAGATTGGGATTAGGGAGGAGGCGCACAGTGCTCAGGCAGCTCTCAGCCCAGGGCCCTGCCTCAGAGAAGCCAGCCTTGTCCAGAGATGCCAGGGTGGCTACTGCTGGTTCCACTTTTCCTTTAATGCCACCGCCTGCCCCAAACCCTCAAGGGGGACTCATCGACCCCTTGATGACCGAATGGTGTTTATCTGAAGTTGAGAGAGAGAGAGAGAGAGAGAGAGAGAGAGAGAGAGAAGGGGAGGGGGTATGATGGTGGGTAGGCGGGGTAGTTTACTTTGGCAAGTTTGCTGTAAATATCCTTCAGCATGTGTGAGGTCTGGAGGGACTATTACACGCTTATTCCCTCTTCAACTTTCACCCCGCTTTGTGCCTGCCCGAGCTTTTTCCAGGAGGAGGTGTCGCTCCCTGCATTGGGAAATCTGTTGACACAAGGACGTCCGTGTTTGTCCTGGGGTCTGAGGCCTAATTAAAGAGCAAGGAGGGGCGGCCAATAAGTCAGCTTTTCCGGGAGAGAGACTTTTGGTGTAGACTCGGCCTGTTTGGTCCGTGGGGTCCTGGCGTCTCTGGTCTTCTGATAAGGATGGGTTGAAGCTGACTGCTCCTCCTCCCATGGCTTCTGTCCTTTTTCAGGCTCCGTTTGTCCCACTGGATGTGTGACTTTCTTGTCGAGGGTCCCTGAGAAGTGGCTTCCTGTGGAACCCTTCGCTTACTGTTGGAGGTTTGTGTTGCTGGCTGCCACCGTCCTTCCTGCACAGGCACTGCTGGGTTCCCTGGACTCTGACTTTCTCATGTGATGTTTTGAACCCAGTACTGGACCCCTGCACAGACCCAGGGCACTGATTTCCATCTTGTAGGCTTGAACTCTGGGTCTTCTCCACCTCCTGCTCCCCAGGGCTTGTTGGGGAGAGCTTAGTTTCTCTTGCCTTTGTGAGACTGTCGCCTTCCTGTCATCCCTGTGATCAGGACAGGCATGAGCCTCTTGGCTGAACCAGACCGGACAAATCTCTGTACTTTTGTCCCCTAGTTTCTCCATTCCCAATTCTTGGATGGGGCTGTGAACGTCCTTTCCTTTTTTCTTCTCTCCCTCCCATCCCTCTGGTGTTTGGTTTCTATTTTTCCTTCTTGTCTGTCTGTCTGTCTGTCCTCCAGCCTTAACTTCTCTTGCTGTTCTTTCTCGTTCTTGTCCGCTCTGTCTCCAGTCTGTCACTCTCTGTCTTTGCACTGTTCTCTTGGTTCTTTATGCCTCCACCCCTCCTTTCTGGCCGTGTGTCTCAGTCTCCCTTTCCTCTCCCTCATCTTTCCCACTAACCTTGGCAGACTGAAGATAGCTCTTCTAAGGCCCAATCAAACATCTTCCCCTCCCCACCTTGTCTGGGGAGAGATACTTTGTCTTTAGCCCTAGAGACTGATCTAGCCCCCTTGTCTGGCTAGGAAGTCTCACTTCTTCTCCATACCTCCAGTCACCTATACCCTACGTTGGCCCCCGTTGGCCCCCGTCCTGCCTCTTTCCTTCAGAGACTCCCTCCCCATTTTGCCAGTAGGAGCCCCAGGCTCTCAGAGGCTCCCAGGCCCCAGCTCCCAGCTTCTTCCTTGCTCCGAGAGCTAGGGCTTTCCTGTATGGCAGATATTTCTGTCCTCTGACATCTTTCTAAATTATTGATCGGGGCCATTCAGTGCAATAGTCTGAAGCGTGTGTGCAGAGCGCAGATTGTCCAAGTTGTCTAGCTGGGGGAAGCAGTATTTTTAGTCCGGCGACTCACTTTGGCGCCAGTTGCTTTATACCATTTCTAGGGCATCGCTCCTTCTGCACTTAATCCACCCTTATCGGACCTCTTAATGTAAATATGCTTTTGGCAGGGGCTAAATGAAAAGGTTTTGCCCTCCGTATTACTCTTATTAACACCCACCACCTTTCATCAAAGCACAGCACCCTGCAAAATGGCAAGTGTGTGCATAGCTAGTGACTGAGACGAATTGACAAGGAAATGGAAGAGGGTAGGGTGAAGAAGTGCGTGTGTCAGGGAGGGTGATTTTTATACATCTGTGGAGATTTTTTTTTCCCTCTCTCAGGAAAAGGAACTAATTGTGGTTTCCTAATTTCAAGCCAATCTACATTCTCATCGTTCTCTTTGTGTGTGAGTGTGTGTTTTACCCAATTACAAGCATGGGGGGCAGGAGGGAGGTGATGCACCAGGCATTACTTAGCTCTGAAGAAATGAACTCACCAGGAAGGGGCTGGGAATTTTTTCCTTTTTTCTGACCCGAATCTGCCTGATGCCGGCCAGAGCTGACTTTTGTCCAGGGCATTGTAACTACCCTATACCTTTCTTCAGTTGCATCTTTCCAGATTTTCAGCCAAGACAGGTAAGCATGTCAGTGGCTTCTGGGTGACTGGTGCCCTGACTTGGCTTGGGAGGTGTGGAGCTAGGGGAGAAAATACTTTCAGGGATGGAAGAAAAAGATACATAGCCAAACATTCCCAGGTCCTTAAGTACAGAAGGAGAAATTTAAGCTGGAGAGATCACAGCCAGTGGCTTGCTGTGGTTGGATCCTTCCCGTGGGCACCGAGGTTGGTGCTGCCAGGGCAGCAGAGCAGGGGTCTCTCACCCATGGGCACAGCTGGAGCAGAGGGGACAGGCAGACCTGTAAGCGAGAGGGCATGGCAAATTCAATGGCCGCTACCGTCAGGAAGGTTGACAGGCCAAAGAAAGATGGGCTTCTCCAGATCTGCTGAACTAACTGCCCCCTGCTAGCCTCGGACACGTTTTCTCAATTTGAGCACAATATCCATTACTATTTCCCGTACTGGGTTTCAATTAAACAGGGTAAGAGCTGGAAGTTCACTGGTGCGTGCTGCTTCCTTTATTTCGGAGCAAGGCTCCGATGAAAGGGAGGAGCAGGCGCTGGAGCTCTTCTGGTGTGCTTTCCTCTCCTTCTTTCCATTCTCTTCTTAGAGCTTCCCTCTGGCTCTTGGCTGGCCCTCAGCCTGCTTGTACTTCCAGAGTTAGATCTTTGCTGTTCTCCTAACCTGGTCTGAGGCAGGGGAGAGGGAGAGGGCTGTGCAGCTCCCAGCACAG